AAGGTCAATTTCCTGGTTTCAGTAACTGTACTGTGCTTGTGTAAGTTGATAACATTAGGGTAAAATGAGCAAAGGGAATATATAACTCTGCACTGTTTTTATAACTTTTTCTGAAGTCTAAAAATATCCCAATATAAAAAATTATTTTAAAAAATAAAAATACAGCTCTTTACACAAAGGCCAAGTTTAGATTCATCTTTGTTAAACTTGATTCAGTTACTTAAACCTGGAAGTAAGGACCTCTGTGAATGTTGACCACTAAGAATCCCCAACCCCTGGGAAGTCTGAGATGCAAGCAAAGATTGGTCAGAATAAAATACCACTTATCTAAAGTCACTTCTGACTTTATTATTTTAAAAAACTACTTATTCAGGGGCCATACTTCTAATTCTTCAACATTTTGGTAGAAGAAACTTTGCCCTCTGGACAAACCCAGTTCCTACTCTTCAACCTAAATGTGCAGTGACACTGGCAATAATCACAGCACAAATGATACCACTGGTTGGATCCCAGAGGCTTAAAAGTTAGCAAGCCAAGAAGTGCAGATAAAGGAGTTACACCTCTGAAAATCAACATATTTGAATACTTACAATCTTTATCTCTTCTCCTTTGCTTTCTTGGAAGAAAATTTCCTTTTCTGCACTCTATAGCAAGAATTCCAAACTAAACACGAATCTCCTTACTCACTAGGTTAATACTACAAGTATTCGAAAGATCAAATCCTTCCTGAGTTTCAGTTCAAAATGACAGTACAAACAGTAAGTGTTTACTGCTAACACTGATTATCTGTGATAATAGGACAGGAGGCTCTTTAATTTTCTAACTTATACATTTTTTGCATTTTGACTTTTTATAACAATAATCATAGATTATTTAAAACAAATATAAGTATATAAGAGCAACAATGCCTGTCAATCATTAGTTATTTGAAAGTAATTCGTAGACTCTTCAACTGTAATTTGTAGTACTTCAATTGTATTTGTAGTATGTCAAACCCAAGAGCTCAGAGTAAGAAAATTCTTGCCCCTTGTTACTCAACTTCATTTACTAAAAACATACTTTATCTAAAAGAAACCCCCAGAGAGTAAACAGCAACTGAAGATACAGAATATCCACATGGTAAAAAAGCAAACTGGCCAGGCAGGGTGACATACGGCTATAAATCCAACACTTGGAAGGCTGAGGCAAGGGGATTGTGAGTTCAAGGCCAGCCTGGGCTATATAGGGAGACCCTGTCTGAAAAAAAAAAAACCAAGTTTTATTTTCTTAACCAGAGTATCAACATATGTGAATTCTAGATGGCAAATAGAATGGGTAATACAGAGAAAATGTGGTATAGAGGAACTGGCATAGAAGTGTTTCTGGGAGACAGCCTTTTGGCCTCCAATGACACAGGGCAGAGAGAGACAGAAACACAGAGAGAGAGAGAGAGAGAGAGAGAGAGAGAGAGAGAGAGAGAGAGAGACAGAGAGCAAGAGAGAAACAGCCTGTCTGGTAAACCTGAACTTGGCTTCAGAAACACAAAGGTTTCAGGAAGGACCACCAACCCCATTGGCTGCGAACCTGACCAGAGCACCCCTTCTCTGATGAGACAGGCAGTACCTGCACTCCTGTAACACAAAGGACAGCTTCCCAAATGGTTTCCTGAGGAGTCTTACCTATACCCAGATGCAAACTTGCAATTACAACCCCATCTGTTACTGATATGTGCTCTCTATTTTTTCATTTGGTCCTCCCTTCTTTTTCTTTTTTTTAACAAAGTTCATTTTTTAAAAAATCCTAGCTCAGCAACAGAACACTTACCTAGCATGTATGAGGCCCTAGGTTTGAGCCCCAGCACTGGGGAAAAAATGCCTTTTAAGCCAGGCACAATGGCACCCACCCATTGTCCCAGCACTCAGGAGGCCAAGGTGGGAGGATCACCTGAGTTCAGGAGCTCAAGACCAGCCTGGAAACATAATGAGAACTCCATTTCAAAACCAAACTAAAGTCAGGCACCAGTGGCTCATGCCTGTAATCTCAGCTATTTAGGAGGCTGAAATGGTGGGGACTGCAGTTTGAGGCCAAGCTGGGCAAATAGTTCATGTGACTCCATCTCCAAAATAACCAGAGCAAAATGGACTGGACGTGTGGCTCAAGCAGAAGAGCATCTTGCTTTGCAAGCATGAAGCCCTGAGTTCAAACTTCGGTCTACCAATAATACATAAATAAATAAATAAATAAATAAATAAAAACCCCAGTTTGTGTCAGCTATGCTAAGAAGAAAAAGAGACAGGACTGGGGAGGCTGGGCCATTGCTCCAACACTATGAAACCCACACAGCTAACCACTTATTCAGTCGTCTACCCATTGTGTATCCAGATAGTTCACTTACAGGTTAAGCCCATCCTCACATAGTCCTTTCTTTAAAACCAAGAACAAGTATCTACCACATACCAGGTGCCACTGGGCATTACTCAGATCAGTTTGAAACATCGGGGTATGAGCATTAGGTCATTACATGGTACCCATGCTGGCATTTATTAAAATTTTCCCTCCTGTCTAAAGAAGTTAATGTGTTTTGGAAGAGACTTTCTTACTCAGTATGTAGATATTGATCTTGCGAGTATTCAGGTCAATTCCCACCAGAGTTAAGACAAAGTAATAAAGAGTTTAAAACCTCTGGCAGGACAAGGGGCCACCAACATGCTTGTCAAGCTTGGGTCCTTAGGCAGGAGGGGTTCAGAGATGAGTTCAATACACCTCATCAATTGTAAACTTCTTCCTGCACAGAATGACTATAAACAGCAGAATTTCCCACCAACTGAAGAGGGACAGCTGCAGGTTAGGTGACTATGACAGCTGTGGAGCTGGAGCAGAGCCAGGACAGAGACCTTTCTTTTACCTACAGGCTACTTGTACACTTGTGGCTACAAGTCCCTAAGCCTCAGTGTCCCCATCTATAAAATGAGTGATGGAATTGGCCCAGAGCTCCCTGAACAGCCTTGTAAACTCCAATGTGTCATGATTTCCATCCTCAAGAATAGCTTTCCCCCAGTCTCCAGCCAGTTTTGAACTTCAGGGTTCAAACAATGTGGTAATCTGTAATGGGCAGAGTCCAGACTTTGGGCTCTTTGAGAGAAGGAAAAGAAAAGAAGGAAAGAAGGAAGGGAGGGAGGGAGGGAGGAAAGGAGAGAGAGAGGGAAGAAAGGAAGAAAGAAAGAAGGAAGGAAGGAAGGAAAGAAGGAAGGAAGGAAGGAAGAAGAGAGAAAGGAAAGAAAGGAAGGAAGGAAGGAAGGAAAAGCTAAGAGGGTTGGGAGCTTCCCTGCTGGCTCACCAACCATGGTCCCCAAGTCACTTACCTTCACACTTCCTGCCCTCCCCTTGGTAGCCAGGCTTGCAGGAGCACTTGTAGGAGGTGGGTGTGTTCTGACACAAGGCATCAGCATGGCAGTCATCTAAACCTTGGACACACTCGTCCACATCTGTGAAAGAGCACAACAGCAAGCACCTGGCATGGTGCCCAAGTCATGGGTGACCTGGCCTTGGCCCTCTCTAGTGTCATCTCCCATCACCCATATCACTTCATAAACCCAAACTCCTTGGTCCAGTGGGATGCACTGTATCATATCTAAACCCCATTTGCAGGGACAACCTTTACCCATAACTGGAATTACTCCACCATCGCCTACTGGCCTTCAGGACTCAGTTCAGATCAGCCTCCTCCTGGAAGCCTTCCATGACCCCCAGCATAAGGGAGGCATCCCCCATTATTGCTCCCAAATATTTATCTCCTTCCACAGCACATATCATGCATGGCTGTCACTGTCTACTTTCCACTAGACAATGTCTTGACAACAGACTGAGTCATGTCCTTTAATGCCAAGCCAGCACAGAGCCTGGTACAGGAGAATGTAGTAAATGACTGCTAAAGAAGAAAGAATCAGGTTGGCAAGAGCTCAGAAAGCCAAGCAACTGTCTTTCAGCTTTGTCAGGGATTGGGGAATGGGGGGAGGGGGGGTAAAACTTTGCCCTGGGCTCTGAGCAAGCACCATTGTGAGCGCTCAGATGGTGCAAAGTGGGAATGGTGTTCCCCTGTCCCCCAACCCCATCCCTGCCCATCTCTCAACCTGGAAACTGGCCTTGGCAAAAGAATTTCCTGGGTTGACACAGTTCAGGATGTTTGTTTAAAACAAAAGTTTTGAAAAGTGTCGCAAGCCCAGTTAGCGCAGAGATCTTAAGTCTGGCTGCCGAAATCCTGGGCTGGTTGCTGCCTGAGGACATCCCGGGTCTTCAAACAGCAGACAGAAGTCCCGGGAGCCCATGAGGCCGGCAGCAGAACTTCCCGGCCCAAAGGAAAAGAAGGGGCCAAGTTGCCATGGCCTCACAGATGTCCTCGGGCCGGACCCTCAGTTTCCCCATCTCCACAATGGGGAGCTGGACTCCGAGGCCCCAGTACCCATGTCCCGGTTCAACCAGCGACAATCTGACCAGCAGGCACTCTCAGGGGACCCCGGACCACAGGGACAGGGACGGGAACTGTCAACAGCTCCGGGTCGGAGGCCGAGCCGCGGGACTCAGGCCCAAGCGGTGGTGGCGCCTTGGCCTGGCGGGCGGGCGAGGCCCCCAGGGAGCGGGGGCCACGCGAGCTCCAGCCGCCAAGTCCCTGGTCCCGCCCCGGCCCGGGGGACCCCGCGAGGGGACCCCGCACGCCCTTCCCTGCGCCGGCCCTCGCGCCGCACCGTGCCAGGTGCGCCCCCGCAGCGGGACACTCACCCTCCAGGGGCCCGGTGGCGCGGCCCCGGCGCGGCGGGACGGCGGCCGCCAGCAACAGCGGCAGCAGCAGCAGCAGCGCCCGGGCCGCCCCGGGACGGACGCGGCCCGCGACCCCCATGGAAGGCGCGGCGGCTGCGGGCAGAGGCGGCGGAGCGCGGGCTGCTAGCGCGGCGGCGCGGGGAGGTGTGTGCGGGAGCCCTGCCCGCCGCGCTCTGACACCCCCGGCCGGGCCCCGCCCGCCCCCCGAGCCCCGGCCTCATTTTCACACGGTCCTCCCGGCGCGGCGCGGGGGGCAGTGCCGCCCCGCCCGCCCGCCCGCCGCTCCTCCCCGGCCCGGGCGGAGGGGGCGCGGCCGCGGCAGCCCCGGGGCGCTGTCAGCCTGCGGGGCGGGGCTGGTGCTGCCCCCCGCGCCCCGCGCCTCGCGCCCCGCGCAGCTCCGCACCGACCGGCGCTCCCGCCCCGCGCCCCGCACCGCGCTCCCGCAGCCTCCCGCTCCGCCTGTTTGCCGTGTCCGACAACTTGACCCAGTCCCTCTTGGGAGGACCAACAGCCCTGCTAGCCTGAAATATTCGGTCAGGGACACCCAGAGAGTGTCCTGCGTAGTCCCCAAACTTCAACGCCGTCTTGGGGCGATTTTCACATACTTCCGAGCCTGTCAAGAAAACGGCTGAGTCAGCAGCTTCTCTGCTCTCCCCAGCATACTCTGCACCCTTCTCCATAGTGCCCAGCCCAGGTCTTTCCTGGTCCCCCTCCATCCCAACCCAAAGCCCTCTGAGGGCACTTGGGTCACTGAGGGGCATGCTGGCGCTGTCTCTCTCTCCTGCGCACTGCTGGGCTCAGAATCACTGCAGAAAATGCGCATCCAGTTAAATGCATTTTCAGAGCAGCCTAAACTATGAAAGAAAAAGGGTTTACAGTCAAGGGTGGGTCACCAGGGGCAAAAGACAGCTTTGCCTGAGGCACAGGTGACATCGATGACCACTGCAACTCCTGAACATCAGGTCTGGCCAACAGCAAATAGAGGCAGTGCCTGCCACCTGGCCCTCCAAACTACATACAGTTCCTACAAGGTGCCATGCTGGGTCTTCCCACCTCACCTTAGGCACAGATCACTGGAGCCCATTACCCTAAGAACAGATGCAGTAATAACCCCGAGGTGTAACGAAGGCCATCCTAAGGGAGATGACGTTTTCCACTGAGCTTCTTTGTACAGTATTTTTTACATTTTCTCTTGTAAATACATACATACATTCATATGTATTGTGTAATGCATATGTGTGCGATCTTTTGGTGATCAAAAAAAAAATGTCACAACCTCCCCCCCACTCCCCCAGCTCAGGCACAAAAACATCATCTTGGGCCTGCTCACCACTCACAGTTCCCACCCCCTACACCCTCAGCTCCTCTGTCCCTAGCCCTGGCCCCTGGCCCTACCCAGGGCCCAGGCTGAGCCTGACGGGGGTGTCGCTGGCACTTCTCCTTGACAAATAATCTGAGGAGATCACTTTTCTGTGGTTGTTTTTCCTTTGACCTTTTCAGCTCCAGTGAAGGCAGGCAGGTTGCATCGTTTTTTCTGTCTTTGACTTCTCCCTCCCACCCCTTTTGTGTTTGGTGCTGAGAGAGACACTCAGCTATTTCTAGTCATAAGGATGCTTTTTTTACACATTTGTAAATCTTCACTTAGTGAAACGTTCACTCCGCCTTTGTCTTTGTATCCTTAATGGTAGCCATAAATTACTGCCTTCTTTTCTCTCTGCTGCATCAGGCTTCATTGCTTTTGAAATGATCAAAGTTATTTCTTTTAAAATCCAACTAGAAACTGCCCATTGTGTGGCACAGAGCTCTTTAGCTCCAGTCAAAGCATATAAATACGTAAAGCTGCCCGTTAAACTCTAGGGAGCCTCCTGCAGCCCTCTTGTGCCTGGTAAAGAAAGAAGACATGTGCTGTTCTTTCCCCTCGTTGTGTGTCCCAGTTTGTGTATCAGTAGGAATACAAATTAATAATGATAAGGCCTAGTGCTTTTTCTGCCTAAAGAGGGCCGATTTTTGTCCTGTTTCCCGAAAAAGTTCACCACTGGCTCAGATCTCAAAATATGTTCTGAATTCTATTTTGTTTGCCCTGACTTCCATACAAACGTGCTTTTAGCCTGTTGGCTCCCAGACAACTGGACAACTTTTTTGACACTTGAGATTAAAAGTCAATATGGTTTACAATTGGGAATTTCCATAGGAGAAAGGCTCCAGGGGTAAATTGTGTTCAAATGTTACTCTCTTCAGTCGGGAGGGACTTGGTTGGCCCTGGGATAGCTGCTGTCTGCCCTCTATTGTCCAGATGAGGTCCCCACAAATTTTTCAGGCCACAGACACTGTATCTGAACTCAGGCTGAGTCTCCCTCTCCCTCTTACTCTGCTCCCCGCCCCCAGGCTGTGAGGCTGTGAACCAGGCCTGAAGGGGCAGGCAGCCCAGCTCACTGTGTGGGCTTCTGGCAAGACTGAAAAAAGACAGGAAGTGTCCTATGACTAGGTTAAACTTGGCATTCACTGGGTGCCTCTCCATGTCCATCTTTCCGGACTCATGAGCAGCCTCTGAGGGTTGAGTACTTGCTCCTTGCAGAAACTCCCCCTCCTTGGTTTCCATCACAGCACAGGGGCTCCTGGTTTTCCTCCCACCTCTTAGGAAATGACTTCTCCATCATCCTGGGGTCCTCTTTCTATATCCTCTCCCTTGATGGCTCACTCATTCCCTTGACTCCATAACAGAAGTCTTCATTCTGGAGTGTCCCTCAGCTTCAGTCTTGTGCTTCCAATTCTCTACCCAATTTCATGTAGGTCCCTCCAATGCAGTATGTTCAGAACAGAGTTCATTTTCTTCTTCAAGTGTCTCCCTTTTAGGGAGGAGCACCCCATTCTGCTGACACCAAGTTCAAGGCCTGGCAGTCATCCTGGACTCCATCCCTTCCCATCTACCACACCTGAACAATCATGTCATTCCCAGCTTCTTACCATCTCCCAAAGCCGTCCTCTTCCTCCATGTGCACTGCCTGAGCTCAGGGCCTCCTCACCCCTCACCTGGTCTGTTGCTCCTCCTCCATGGCGCTCCACTGGTCTCCCTACCTAAAACTCATCTAACCCAGGGACCTCCAGAGTGAAATGCAGTTTCATCACATTACTCCCATTTGCCTCGAGCTTCCTTTGGTACAACCACTCTGGTTGGGCAGCGTACTAAAGCAGACGGTGCCTGCCCATTTCCAGGTATATACATGCCCAAGAAAAAAGAATGCAAAGAAGTATATGGGAAAGTTCCTAACAGCTCTGTTCACACCAGCACAAAACTGGAAATAAGCCAAATACCCACCAAGTAGAGAATGAACAAATCATGGGATATTTATTCAATAGATATTAGGAAGCAATAAAATTTACAATCTCTGATACATGCAACGAGACAGAGGCATCTTGTGAACATTATGTAGGATACAAAAGGGGACATATTGTATAAGTCTACTTCCATGAAGTCTAAGAGCAGACAGAACTAATTAATAATGATAGAGGCTAGAAGGTGAGAGCCCTCTGGGGATGGATATTCTAGGAAGGAAGGAGCGTGGAAGGAATCTTCTGGAGTGCTAGAAATGATCTAGGTCTTGATCTTCATGGTAGTCATTTGGGTATATACATATGCAAAGTTTTGTTGGAATGTTTAATGCACTTTACTGTAATACGTTTTCCCTCAGTAAGTTGAAACAAGAACCGCCTAGCTGAAGATTGATAATCTGATCCCATTCTCTCTTTCCAGCCTTTTCTGCTGCCACTCTCTCACCCAGACTATGCTCCAGTGACATCAAACCATGTCCTTCTGCTCACAGCTTGCCACATTCTTCACATACATCTCTTCTTTTATTCACACTGTTCACTTTACCTGAAAGACACCAAGAAGTGAGTCTCAACAAGTATTTGAAAAACGAAATTCCACATTTTGATTAATAAGTATCACTAGACCCCAAGGAAAAAGATATTTACTGGGATGTCCCACCAAAAGCACAAAAATATGCGTGAAGATATTTGCGATTTCAGGTTAGCAGGTCCTGAGAATTAATGCAGACAGGAAAACCATCTGCTCTTCTGTGCCCCCTAATTTCCCTCCATGGATGGAGTGAATATTAAATGTCATGCACTATTTATTCTAAGCACTTCACATGCATCAGCTCATGCAATCCTCATAAAAACTTTACAGACGTAGACACTGAAATGAAGAGAGGGTAACTGGCTTTGCTGGGAGGTGGCAGACCAGGACTTGATGCCAGATGTCTGGCTTCAGATTCCCCTTAACCACTGCTCTGTAGAGCTGACATGTGTGCCAGCCATTGTACCAGGCACTATGGGAGACACAAAGATGAATGAGAGGCCAGCCCTGGCCTTGAGTTTACATTCCAGCACAAAAGGGTTTTCATGCTCAGCACCTCTTCAAAAGTCTGAATATGACAATTCCTGTTTAAAACCTGTGGGGCTCCCTGCTTTATCTCTGTACCACAAATCAACCTCATGAGTAAGACAAGCTTCCCGATTTACAGGACCCAGGGCAAAACTAAAATGCAAGGCCCCTTCATCAAAAAACAGGGAAAGTGCTGTTGAAGGTATGGAAAATAGGTATCTTTCCTTTAAAAATATTTTATTACTTGTAAAACATGATAAAGTAACAGTAAAAACATAAACTTAAAAACTGGAAAAGATAATATTTTGGTGTCATAATTTTATATAATACAATAAGTAAGAATACTGGCTGGAGGAGTGGCTCAAGTGGTAAGAGCACCTGCCTAACAAATGTGAGGCCCAGAGTTCAAACCCCAGTGAAGCCAAAAACAAAAAAAGATTTGCCAGGTTCCAGTGGCTCATGCCTGTAATCCTAGCTACTCTGGAGGAAGAGATCAGGAAGACTGCATTCGAAGCCAGCCCAGACAAATAGTTCTAGAGACTCTGTCTCGAAAAACGCTTCACAAAAATAGGGCTGGTGGAGTGGCTCAAGGTGAAGGCCCTGAGTTCAAGCTCCAGTACAGCAAAAAAAAAAAAAAGAATACTGTAGTAACATATCTTTAATCATAAGATTTATCATTTTCCATAAATTCATTTTTAGGTCATCAAAATTTATAGTTTTAGGATCTTTATTTTTAATCAAAGGGATATCAGTCATTCTTGGCATATGAAACGTCACAGATAATTTTTAATTTTCAGGACTT